AAAATGCATTACATGCTATCACACTAAGCTGGTCCCAATGAGTCAATTAATGGGAAATTTACCTGTAAGTCGTGTCACAATTGCAAGTGCGGCATTGATTATGCGGGTACTCTCTGCATCAAAGACAGTGCAGCAAGAAAACCCAAAATTTTTAAAGCCTATATTTGTCTATTTATTTGTTTTACAACAAAGGCGATTCATATCGAATTAGTAAAGGATTTGTCAACTGATTCATGCGGGTACTCTCTGCATCAAAGACAGTGCAGCAAGAAAACCCAAAATTTTTAAAGCCTATATTTGTCTATTTATTTGTTTTACAACAAAGGCGATTCATATCGAATTAGTAAAGGATTTGTCAACTGATTCATTTATTAATGCTCTCAAGCGATTTGTTGCACGTAGAGGAAAGCCCTCTGACATTTTTTCGGATAACGGTACAAATTTTGTGGGTGCAAATAATAAATTAAAGGCAATTTTTAATCTTTTAGCAACTCAAAATAATCAAAAGAAAATAATTTCACATTTACAACAAGACAATATTCAATGGCATTTTATACCTGCTAAGGCACCCCATATGGGTGGACTGTGGGAATCAAGTGTTAAATTAGTTAAAAATCAGTTAAATAAAATTCTTGGCAATGTGTTTTTAACGTTTGAAGAACTTTACACTGTACTTGTCCAAATAGAAGCGTGCTTAAATTCCCGTCCCTTGACCGCTATTTCCAACGATCCTTCCGACTTTTTGCCATTAACCCCTGGTCACGTCCTTATTGGTGATTCATTGGCAGCACTACCTGAGGAAGATGTCACCGATATCAAAGAAAGTCGATTGAACAGATTTCAACGTCAACAGCAGATAATCCAACATTTTTGGCAGCGATGGTCGCGAGAATATTTATCTCAACTTCAAGTTCGCAACAAATGGCAACACGACAAACCTTTCTTTTCGATATTCCATAAGCATAGGATTCAATTGTAAGTAAAGGTTATGTATTGTAAAATTTATTTCAAGGCTCCTAAATTATTGTTGTTTTAAAAATATTTAAACAATAGTTTAATTTGAATTTGGTGTGCTGCACATTTACACCTGTATAAATAAAATGTGAAAATCATTTGCAGTTGCCTCAAAAGAAAAAATGTCTTAAGGAATAAAATATATTTTCCATCGTTGTGATCGAATTATAAATTACAAAAAGTATTATTGTTTTTTTCCATCCAAATTTAATTGTATAAATGGGTCGTTTTCAAAAAACACCCGCCTTCCGCTGTCCGTAAGTTTGAATTCCAATAACTTTGTTAAAAATTATCGGATCTTATTGATTTAAAAACCAAGTGAAAGCCTAACAAGCCCTTAGTAAACTCTTTCAGAAAATGTTTGTTTAGTTATTTCAGAATATTTTTTTTTAATTTTGAAACTTGTGAAACACACATTTTCGCAGGTCCCATTAGCGTTTTATAAAACTTATGTACATACATGTTTTTTTTAAATATTGAATAACCAGAACTTTGTGTTGCTTTATAGCAATCCATAACATCCTTAGTTAATAAAGTAAACAATTTATATATAAATTAATTAGTTTTAATCTACTTTTTTTAAATTTGACTCATGTCCCAGACATTTTTTCCGTTGCGTTACGTCCGTCGCGCTACCGATAGAATATTTAAAAAACATATGTATGGCAACTTTTTTGGCACTCACGTGATTAACAAATGATGTTCGGACTTACCATTACCCAGCTGAATTTATCCGTATTTAATCAGGAAGAAGAATATCGGTTGAAACAGGTGCGGGTATCGCGAATGTAATAATTGTTAGTCCGCTAAGTTACTCAAAAAAATAATAAAAATAAGGTAAGAAAAAATACTATTTTTCATGTTTATGTTTATTTTAGGACACCAAAGCTCATTGAGAGTAATTAATGACTGTAATGAGTTATTATTATTTTTGTCCACTGCGTTACCGAATCCATTACGTTACCTTAAGGTAACGCAATGGAATTTAGGGTAACGCAATAGAATTTTTCGACAACAAAGTGGATATTTACCGTCGCTTTTATTAAAAGTAGTTTATGATAAACCAATTTAAAATTATTTGTGAATACAACTCATGATATAGATTACATCCAAGGGAAAATTCCACGCAATATACAAGTACTAAAAGACACCAGCTTATAGTCAAAGAAAAAGGGTGTCTATAATTTAGAAATCTAATAGGTCAATTCTGGGTTCTCTCGTAAAATTTCTGTAAATTCGTAAATCTATAGCTTACGGTGATCTGTAACTATAATGCTTATAGAATCGTAAAAGTGGCAATTCTGGGATGTTATCTGTAAATGTCTAATTTAAAGTAGTATAAACGAACTACTGCAACTTCACGCCTATTTACTTACGATCAAAATAACCTATATTTTTATATGTATTATTTGGTTTATCCACAGTTTATCGGTTTTCATTTATGTATCAGCATATAATATAATACAAAAAGTAAGAAATTTAAACTGGTTGAGGAATAAAATGAGGTAAGATAATTTTACATTTAAAAGAACATATAATATATAATGAATAAAATTGTTAGTGCATTGAGTGAAGAAGTCAATGAATGGTTAGTGGTAACGCAAAAGCAACAAAGAGAAAAAGATAAAAAAACACCACTCCTCAACAGTTGAACGATATTTGGATGCAATGGATGGAGATTATCCATTGGGCCAACCATGGCAGGATAAATTTGAGCAAGGAGCAGAAAATCAACAAAAACATTTTGAGACTATTAAAAACTATTTAGAAAATTATATAAAGCTGAAAGAGGAACAATTAGGATTTGAAATGAAAAAAATTAAATTTTTAAATCCAAATTTTGATATTTGACCTATTAATTTTTGAGTAATTAGAATATTTATTTATTTTGTTGTTTATTTCTTTTTTGACCGAGTAGGCTGTGGTTTATTTTTTTTAAGAATAGGTATTATTTTATTTTATTTTCATACCTATGTAAAATAAAAATATAAAGTTTCTGTATTAATACAATTATTGTTTTATTTAGTCAAAATTGAAATTATTTCTAATGTAGTTGGCCCAGGCTGCTTGTCCCAATTGATAAATATTACCATAATCATATCCACATTAACATTATTAAAAATATTCATGTTTTCAATCTTTAAAATAGCTTTACATAACCTAACAAAAACAAACTGTAACTAGCAACGATTGGGAAACACCCGATCGTAAATATTTACGATTCTATAAGATTTTCTGTAAGCTACAGGAAGCGCAGAATTGCAAATTGTCTATAAGCTTATAGAAAGTTACAGATTTGCTTATAGATGCTTACAGATGTGCGCAGAATTGACCTATTCTGCAAGTGAGCACCACTACAAGGGATTTTGTTTATGCATTACTCTAAAATCGTACAACCCTATACATATAGTTTCTTTTTTACGTTATCTGATTAAGTCCTTTGTGTACCCCAGTCCGTTGTGATACCAATGTCTATTTCGTTACTTTTTTTAGTTTTTGTTAAAAAAAATCCTTAAAATGATTTTACTATCACTTGGTAATACCTGTTTATAAATTAGAGTTTAACTCACTAATACAGTGACTAAAAGAAAATATTAATGGTATTGTTTTTTAACAAAGAATCGGAATGGTGTCTTTTAAAAAGTAACTTAACTACCCAACATAAATATTTAAAAAAGACATACAATTTTGAATAAAAAATAAAATTGGAGTCAAAAGTTTGTGAACTACATTTTATTTCAAATTATTTTTATAACTTTTTTTATTGAATTAAATTTTGGATTTCAAATTGGTAACACAGTGGAGACATATAAAGCTAGTTAAACAAATTTTTCTGAAAAAAACGTACAAAAAATTAAAAAGTGCACTGCCTGTCTTAAATGTAAGTAAACAAAACAACAACAAAAAAAATTGATCTTCATTTTCCTGAAAGCGAGTGTTTCTTGAAAATGACCCAAATAATTTTGTAAAGGTAATCTTAACGTAATAAAGTAAAGAATATAACTAGGTACAATTTAAAATTGTCAATTTTCGTTGACCCCTATATTTAGGTAATTGTTTGCTTTAACTAAGCCATTAAAATACAATTAAAATAAGTTAAGTTAAAGTTCGTATTAAAAAAGATGCCGATAATACTAATTGATACTACCTATATTATTTTTGAAAGTTTTTTAATACCTATTTCCTGAAATAGTTACGTAATTGTAATCTTAATAACCTTTTTCCTTTCAAACTAATAGCAATAAGTAAATGTATTTTAATAAAATGCAAATGAGACTATTTATTTATATAAAATGAAAGAAAACAATTTTTTAAACACGTTTTTTTAAAAAAAGTTACATTTTGTCAATAATATCAAAGTTATATACAGAGCTGGGAAAGTTACTTCTGAAAAGTATCCAGTTACCTTCCTAAGATACTTTAAACAAAATAACTTAGTTACCTCTGGTAACTAGATACTTTGAGTTAAAAGTATCTTTCATTGCAAGATACTTTAAAAAGTATCTAAGATACTATTTGAAAGTATCTAAGATACTATATGAAAGTAACTAAGATACTTTTGAGTAACTAAGTTACTTTTAAGTATTAATAAAAACTATAAAATTATAAAAATTCAACAATTTGTAGGTTAGGTAATTACTTTGAATCATTTTGGAATTCCCCCAATTTTCCCTAATAAAGTATCTAAGTTGCACTGAAAAGTATCTAAGTTACTTTAAAAAGTATCTTAGTTACTTTTAAGTATCTAAGTTACTTGAATGTATCTTAGTTACTTCACCGAGTAACTTAGATACTAAAATGGTGTTTATTAACTTCATATGTAACATATTATACCATTATAGAATATATTATAAGTACAACATTTTAAGACAAATGGAACTGTATTTTTGAAGAAATTTAAAGTTGATTCGTTTTTTATTTTAATTCTTATTTCCCACACCAGTTTCTAATATAGATACATAAGCAGTTCTCCTAAATAAACTTACATTATAATTGCACTTATCCTTCGAGATACTAACGATTTAACAACAAATCCAACGCACCTTTTTAAAGTACCGAGTTGTTCGAATATCGCGATACACTTTCCAAGACGGGCGCGTTACCACATCAGGTAGGCTGAACGACTGCGAAACAACTGCCGGCCGGTGGAAGTTCCACTGTGAAACAAGTGAATAGCGGCATCAAGGTAGCCTAGCTGGAAAGCACGGCCTACTGAACCGAACAGAACAGTATAAAATAAAAAAAATTAAGAGCGGATACGTCGGCACAAATATTGGCCGTTTAAAAGACTTGCTCGAGTCAAACAGTTGCGGCATTGTTTTTAAATGGGTGGGTAAATCGAGGGAAGTATAACCAGAAAACATTTTTTTTAATACTAAGTTAGTTTTAATATTATAACTAGAATTTATAATGAAAATTTAAACCCACCGACTAATAATTTTATTATTAGATAATTTTAAAGTCAATTCACAGAAATCTTTAAGAACCTTTTTGGTTTTATAAAACCTTTAGGGTAGAAATATTTAGTAAATATCATTTTACACAATACTAAACAACTTGGTAAAAATTATTTAAGAAACAAAGATGGCCAATACTAAAATGATATAATTTCTGGGTGTTTAGTTTGGTAGTTAGCAATTTCTAAACTAAATATCTCATCTTTTAAAAAAAGTTTATGAAGAGACTATGCTTGGGAGTGTACACTGTACATGGTAATTTACAATAGTTATGAAGCGTTACAAGGTTCAACACCGATATACAGGGTGCACCAAGTATCCTACAATATGTATATACTTATACACTGAAAAAAAAGATTTCTTATATTTAGAACACCTCATCATCTTGAAAATATTTTTTTAATTCAAGTCAACTTGCTTTAAAATAAGAATATATATTTCAACTAAAAATATTTACTTCTTTAAAAAAGAATTTTGTAGTTTTGGAAATATTTATTCTAATATTAAGAAACATTTCTTGGTACAATTATTGTTAATATTTTTTTATATCAAGAATAAGATATTCTTATTTTTTTTATTTGTTTAATTTTTTTATATTAAGAATTAGATATTCTTAAATTTTTTTGTTCGTTTTAATAAACAGTATTTTCTTTTGCCAAGAATACATATTTTTGAAATCGTGTAGGAGTGGAGATGCCGACACGTTCGTTTGAAATTTTATGCACAATCATGCAGGGTTTCTTTCTCTTTGTAAGGGAGAGGGCGTATTTCATTAAAAAATTATTAGAAGAGTGGTCAGCATCGAAGGAAATTATAAAAAATTAAAGGTAAGTAGGTAAGTTGTTATTGATATACCACCCTTTTTTAAATTTAGCGTCGCATTTACGTCTAGGTAGGTATTTACTAATATGCATTAAGGATGCCTTAAAATTATTTTATTCATAAATAAATAGGCTTTGCAGTGATATCCAAAATATCTTATGTGTTTAACACTCTGATTTGTATGGCTCTATAATTTTAAGTTAATAAACTTAATTTATTTTACGACATTTAAAAAGATTTTGTTTTAGAAGTAATTTTGTTACACACTTTGGGGTATAACATTAATTTTGATTCATATAGGGTGGAGTTCATTGGCAATAGCCCTAAATTATTTTATAAAATTGGTAATTGCATTCCTACTGTAGCGAAGTGTTGAAAACTTGCCGAAGGTGTGGGTGGTAGGTTTTTAAAGACTGTTAAATCCTGAACGCACTTTATTCTATTTAGACAAATTTAGTCTCAAATTGGTAACACTTCTTGATCCGGTTGATATTAAATCTAAAAAACTGTTTTACCACTTAATTAAAGTGAATATAAAATAATATATTAATTTAGTTACCTGTTTCACCAGATAACTTTTCGTTTAACAAAACGAACATTAATCCAGAGGATGATAACAAAATTTAAAGATCTAAAACGTTGCAAGCAACTGCTAAAGAAAACAGGCAAATGGTGGCCAAGTATCACCAAAATAACCATTAAATTTCGCGGGGAATTATAAAGGCGGAAAATTTGAATCAAGACGTGTTACCAACTTTACAAAATTATAATATCATATAAACAATTAATAAAGCAGTACAAAAATAACCAAATCGCTTCACTACTACACAGAGAAAAGTAATTTCTTGATTTTACTATATTTTGGCTTGGCTCAATTAAATTATTTATTTCGATATCTACAAGAAGATATTTATTTAGTGGAAAACTTGGGTTTATTTGACTTTTTAAACTGATTTGGTTAATACAAGTAAATATCTAGTTGACTTTTTATCTCAGGTTTAGTAAAAGCTTACTTAAAGAAACAAAACATACATCCAAACAATTTAATTAATTGCTCTAAATAAATATTTCTTTACAATTAATCACAATAAGTTTTCAAAAAATTTATGATTTACAACCAAATAATAGTATTTTCTTATTTTAAACAAGTTACTACGAATAAAAAATTTTACTTCATACAAGAAAACCTATTTCAAATAAATGCATTTTCTTAAATCAAGAGACCACTTTTCTCTGTGTATATGCCTAAAATATTACAAATTATTTAAAATGAAAAATATGTCGATAATAATGATTAAGTTCCCTATGTTAATTTATAATAATGTATACATTTTAGATTTTTCTTGTATTAATAACAAAATAAATGTGTTTCTTCAACGTTTGTTAACCTAATTTTTTTTGCTTACTGCACCACCTAGAAACTATACAACGTATACTTTGGCCCTTCAGTAAGTTTGGCTCAATTTTGAATAATCCGTAAGTATTTAAATATTAAGTTTTGTTTAAGATTAGACAACAATCTTTAAAAAATTACAGGATATTTAAAATTACTCCAGTCCACCTGCAAGTGTTTAGACGTATTTTTATTTTAAATTTTATTTCTTTTGCAGTAATATTCCTAAATATAAAAATGTTTTTATTATTAAAATAAATAATTTTTAGTTAATAGACGCATCATTATTTAAAAATTTAGTGATTTTATAATATAAATTTTGTATATTATACAAAATGATAGATTATATTATAAAAAATGATAGATTTTTTGAAACATTTTATTTTTAACGATACTTCTTGCATTGTTTTAAAATAAATATTATTTTGTAATCAATGAAATAAAATTTTAAATCTTGTATGTATTAATTTAAAAAAATATTTGGTTAAAGAAAACATCTTGATTTAAAAAATTATTGCCTTATTTCAATATCACATGTTTTTTGTTTTAAGAAAATTTATTCTTGAATTAAGTAAGTATCTTTTTTATTTAAGAATACCACTAATTTATTAAAAAAAAGGAAATCGATGGTTATTTGACAAAACATTGTAAGCGACAAAACCTAAATTTTACAGGAGAGATTTTTTTGTGTGGCAGCTTTATTTTTAAAGTTATTTATCTGAAAACTGGTGATGCATTATTTTATTAATGTAGAATTCAAATATTTAAGTAAGATCGAATCCAATCTAAAATTTTCATTAAATTTTGTGGCATACGATATTTTATAAGAACATCTTTAGGAAAATGTAAAATTAGTCTTGTCGCTTAAGTTACATTTACGTTACTTTGTGAGATATAGATTTGATGATTACTTTTGTCAAAACATCGTTAACGACATTTATTTTTTTACTTTTGTTATTAAATAAAGTAAAATACAAAAAAATTAATTTATAAAATAGCACCAACGATATTTTGCCAAACAATGTTGAAAATGAAATTCTACATTAGCGAACGATTTTTATTCACAAACCAGTATCTAACCCATGGAGCCTACACAAGGAGCCCGAATTTAATATGGGAAATTGACAAAACCTGCCCTCTAAATGGTACAAATTAAGTTTCTTTTTTTCACCACCAGCGGCCCTGATTGTCGATGCTAGCGTTTCGGTACACGGAACACCAGCGCCCTCTTATCTTAAATATTATTTGGTAATCAATGAAATAATCTTGTATGTATTAATTAAAAAAAATATTTGGTTATAGAAAACATCTTGATTTAAAAATTATTGCCTTATTTCAATATCACATGTTTTTTTTTTAAGAAAATTTATTCTTCAATTAAGTAAGTATCTTTTTTATTTAAGAATACCACTACTTTATTTAAAAAAAGCATATTCTTTCTTTAAAACTACCAATTATTTGGTTAAAGAAAATACATTTTCTTGAATTAGGTAAATGTTTCTGCCTTATTTCAAAAATTATACATTCTTGCTTTTTAACAATCAAAGTTTTATTTAAAGAAATTTAATTTTCTTACATTAAGAAAAGATTCTTAAAGTAAATCAACGTGAATTAAGAAAATACTTTACTATTTAAAAAAATATATTTTCTTCGTTATATATGAGACAAAGATTGTTTTGAATCAAATAAATTTATTTGATACAAGAATATTTTTTTTTCAGTGTACGTTCAATTAAACTAAAATGTAATTTATTAATTGAAAAAAAGGCCAGCGGTTTTAAAATAATTTGAAACAAAATAAAAATTAAAAACCAAAAATTCACATCTGAAATTCAGATGTGAATCGAATCTTTAGATACACAAAGAGAACTGTTTCAGGAATGATTGTAAAAAAATTTAGTAAATTGGGGACAGATTCTGAATAGACTAAGAGCTGACGGCTTTGAAGGTACTATGATCATACCTCCGACTGGGATTTTGTGCTCTCTTAAAATGAATTAGTCAAAAATAACTAATTATAAGTCATATTTCACTAATTGTCATAGCGACAAAGCTAATAATTGGTCAAATTTTACTTAATGAAATAGTCAAATTAGTAGATTTAAATTTAAAAAAGTTTTGACCCAGCCTGGGATTGAACTGAGGTCTGTCACTTGTCAAGCCTGTCAAGATGTTGTCATAACCAATGTGGCTATCAGTCGCTCTTATAAAAATCAATTTTATTTGTCAAAAAATATTGTTCATAATATTTTAAAGTTGAATATATTATTTGTGTTACTGTTTTGAGATAAACTTTTTGCATCTTTATTTGTTTTTATGGGTCATTTAACCATGGAGCTTAGGTATATGCATTTAATTCAAATATATTTGAATATTATAATATTATAATACTTTGTTTTT